TATATATATATATATATATATATATATATATATATCGCCGCGCCGTACAGTACGGCGACGTATTCCGGTCTCACCGACAAGGCTTTTTCGTTTTTTTTTTTTTGAGAGAACGTCCACCACCGAAGCTGTACAGCAATATGAGGAAAGGAATAAAAATGCTGGAAACAGCTGTGGAAGCAATGAACGTCGATGAAGAGAGAGAGTTGTAACCCACAACTCCTTGCATACGAGGAGGTGGTACCCAACGGCTTCTGAAAACGAAGGCGTCAACGGTTAAAAGAAAAGCGCTGCACCGACCACAGTTATGTTAAACGAAAGAAAAAAACAAACGACTCAGAGAAGTAAACAATAATAATAATCAAAATGAAAAGGACGTCAGCAGCACACTGGTGCGCCAGAGACACCAACAAAGAACGGGTGAAAAGTCCAACGCCCAACTAAAAGCGGAAAACCAAAGACCTGGACCTAAGAAATAAGAAATAAGAAAAAGATAAGCGCAGCGTGATAAGCACACGCACGAGAGAGGAGAGAAATAACAAAAAACACAAAGGTGAGGTTTATTATGTAAACGAAAAGCTTTCCTTCAGCTCTCCCTTTCCGACAAACTTCTCTCCAACTTTTGAAGTGCGATAAACGGACGAAAAGTCAACGGCAACGGTGTACGAACAAATATATATATCTCGCTCTTGTGATTCTTTAGGTTTGCTTTAGTATATATAGCTGCAAATATGGATATATACTGATACAGGCGTGGCCAAGGTCGAGTACGCCGGCCTGACGTGTTTTTCCAACTGCTCTTTCTCTCCCGAAAGGAAACGGTGGATCGGCGACGAACGCTACTCCGCAAACCTAACACAAAATTAATTTGGTGATAATAGAAAGCGTGTAACGGGAGATAAAGACCAGTTCTGAAAGCAGAAAAAAAGAAAAAAGAAACACGTTGCAAAGCAAATCACCCGCACGCGGGAGTAAAGAAGAAAGTCAGATAAAGTCAGGTGTTAAAGAGAAGAGAAAAGAGAAGGATGTAAAGTCGCAGGCGCCAGCCTCACGAGTACGTACACACACACGCACACACACACGTCACGAGGACTACGAGCGAAGGAGTCGGATGCGGAGGGTAGCCCACGGCAACGTATATGCAGCTGCCACGAGTTTCAAAGAGAAAAAAGAAGTTCTGTGCTCGTACTCTACTGAGCGTCTGCACAGCAAGGACACGTGCGTGTGTATATATGTATATGTGTATGTGTGTGGGGAGGGAGGAGGGAGGAGGGAGGAGGGAGGCTGTCAAAACGCTAAAGGCGAGTAAAAACCAAGCAAAGGAAGAAACAAAACACACACACGAAGATGTGGATCGAATGATCGAAGTCCGGCCGCAGTACAGAGAGGCGCACAAACACTCCAAAGAAAAGGAGAAGGGAAGAGAAGGTATTTATATAGCTGGATATACCACAAAGAGAAGAAAGTATTTATTTGGTAGAGAATTAGCGACAAATCATCACCATCATCATACAAAAGAAAGAAAAAGAAGAAGAAAGGACGTGCGACTACCGACGATGCTGCTGTGTCCCTCCAATGCTGAGGAGTAGGAAGAGAAGCGATAACTTACTAAATAGAAAGGCACAACGAACTGCCGCACGCTAACGCACTACGCGCAGAGGTCCTGATGAGAATGCGCAGGAAGCCAAAACAAAGGAGAAGTAGCTCACACGAATGCGTGCGCGGGTGGGTGAGATGTGTTGAGAGCGAAATCTGTCACGTACCAGTGCAACGGGTGTTGAGGCGGCGGTGGCGTACAACGTGCGAAGGAACAATAGTGAGAAGAGCGTGTGACGTGGATATTGGTGTGAATAGAAGCGGAGAGGGAAGAAGTTGGAGTGCCTTTTTTTGTCATTCTTCCGGTTTCGGCAGCGGAAGATCGAGCCTCCTGCGCTTGCGCATAGCGGGAGTGGTCAATGGAAGCAGAAAAAATAAAGAGAGGTGTCAAACACAACGTGTAAATGCATCCGCGTTAATGTTACAGCGTTTTATTAGCCCTATTATTCCTTTTGCACAGCAGCTGAGCTTATTGGGGGAGAGTCCGTTTCTTCCTTTAGAACTACGTAAGTTAGTCGTGCAGCGGCTTCATTAGAACCGAACTTCACAACTGTCGAGCAGCAAATAACATGGCGATGCATTCAGCTGTGACTGTGCGCGTCTACTCCCTCACGACGAGCCCGCACAAAAGACCTCCACACGCAGCGGGCAGGAGGCAAGCACGTCCCAAACAACGTGCTCTCGTCTTCACGGCGCAGGCGCCGCCCGCTCTATCCCTGGAAAAACATGAGCCGTCACCCACCGCGGCAGCAGCGCCTCCGTCAAAAAACTCCTTAAACTCCTTGCATCTGCGTCCTCGCGGCCCGACACGTCGGCGCACCGCGTCAAGTCATGCAGGAACCGATGGAACCCGTCGTAGTGCATGCGGTGCCCACTAAACCACGGAGTCACGCACGATGGACTCGGCGGCGCTGCCCCGACCCGCCCATCCGCCACCGCCGCCGCGTAGCAAGAGAAGACACCCCACCGCGTTTCTACATCAGCCCCCAACGGGTAGACGTCGCAAAACTCGGCGAAGTAATCAAACGATGGAAAGTCAACGACCGGCGGTGCAGGGCCATCACGTGCAGCGGCGATCATCGCCGTCGTGGCCGTCGCTTCCGATGATATTTCCGGCCTCGTGGACGCCTCGTGCAGCTCCAACGCGCTGCGGAGCACCGCCACGCTGACGTACAGGCACTGGGCAATCTCCTCCACGTCCGGCTCTGCTGCACCCCCCTCGAGCGGTGCCCTTCTCAGCGGTGTGCACTGCAGCAGCGTTTCAACGGCCACCGACGGCGAAGAAGGAAGGAGAAGAGAGGGGTCAAGATGATTCGTCTTTGGCGAGGACAGCGGCGGCTGTGGTAAGGGGGGGTCACGCCGCAGCGCTGCCACCAAACGACGGCCAGCCCTCACACGACGCAGTCTGCAGACAGATGCACGCGCCTTCGCCACCTGCGCCGCGACCGACGCAACACGGCCATCCAGCCGTGCCGTGTACGCGGCGATGCTCTGCTGCATCGGCTCACGGCACCACGTAGAGGACTGCAGTGACGCGCCAGTCACCCGTACCGCCTCCTGAATGAGCTGCACGTCTGCGCGGGACTGACGTAGCTGTCCACCCACCACGTCGTTTAGGTACCGGAGACGGGCTTCGCTTTCCAATGCTGACGCGCGTGCTTCCGTTGCTTTCAGTTCAATAGGAGAAGGCGCATGCGTTGGCTTCCATAAAAGGGTGTTCCGGAGCGTGGCGATGACGTGCTGCTGCGCCGCCTGCTGCTGGTGAAGCACACGCTCGTACCGCCACAGCCGCTGACTGCGCCGTGCCGCCGACAGCGCGTCTGCCCATTCAGACTGCTCAGCCGACTCCAGCGCGAGTCGGGCAGCTCGCGCCTCCTTTACCACCACCGCCATCGCCGTCTCTGTTTCTAAAAGAGCACGAAAAACGTGCCTCACGTTCGCCAGTGCGGAAGGCTGAAGCGGCCCGGCGCGCGACACGATGCGCACCAGTTCAGGCGTGGGCACCAGCTGCCCAACAACACGCTCCCGCGCAGCCACCGCCGCCGCCGCCTCGCACGGCTTCGCTGCCAGCAGCGTTGACACAACGTAGTCGTCCACCTCGTGGCCGCTGGAGAATGCAGCACAGCTGCGCGCCGCGTGTCGGAGGAGCACCTGCAGAGTGGACCACCTCACCGAAGCTACACGACTGTGCGTTGTGGCATCGTCGGAAGATAAGTGCGAGGATGGCGGAGGGGCCGCAGAGGCCTTCGCGGTGGCCGAGGCGGCGACGCCGTCATCGTCCCTGCTGAACAGCCACACGTCTTCGCGGGCGAGGTCGAAGAGAAACGCCTCCTCGCAGCAGTCGAGCACATCGGATGCTGGGCAACTCATTCGCAGCCGCACCTTCCCTTCTGTGGGTGTAGTTGTGGCGAAGAAAGACGTGAAGAAAGGGCAGGCGCTGCACAGTCGAGGTGATGGAACGATCGATTCAAAAAAAGACCGCGCCGTGCGGTGTAAACGAAGGAGGAGAATGACGGCGTGTCGTTCATTGCATCCGGTGAGATCATCAGCGAAGCGACGGTCGCCAACGAGCACGTCGAGGCAGGCGACAGCGATGCTGATACCAGCGCGGGTCTTTTGTCTTTGGAGGAGGGGAGGGGGGTAAGGCAAGAAGAATACGTCAAAGGGAAGTCCAAGAGCTGAATCCTCACAGGGCTTCCTCTTACCTTGTAGCACCCCCTTCTCCTCTGCAGTCGGGACCTTCACGTACACACACACCGAAGAAAACTGTACGATGGGAGTCGTAGGATTCTTTGTCGTGGTCGGTGCTGTTGATATACAAAAATAGGATAGAGAGGTCCTTATGAGCGGCGTTGTTATTCGAGCTAATAAAATACTTACCATTTAGAAAAGGAACTTGTGAGAAGGCTGTCCCGAAGCCAAAGAAAGGAAGGGGAGAACGTGCTGTTCGGGGTCCCTCGCGACAGACAGTAGTAGCCAGAGCCGCCGCGGAAACGCAGAAGTTTGCGTGGTTGCCCCCATGGTGCCTTCACCGCGCCATCAGCACACGCACGCCGCGCCGCCACGCCGTGCGAGTACGCCGTACATGCGAGGTGACAGCGCACCGTCGAAGAGCGGCACGAGCGACACGGCGCTGTCCTCTCCCTCCTCTGCTGCCTCGCCAACGCGCAGCTCCTCGTGCAGGTAGAGGGTGCGATCTAACAGCAAGAGCGACTCTACCAAGTGGCACATCCACATGCGCAGCACCGTCAGGCCCAAGAACGGAGCGAAGTGTTCCCCCTCGAACGTCCGCGCCATCTGCGCGGGCAAAGCACGGACCGTCAGAGCCGACCGGATAAAGGCCTCCTGGTCGTCACGGCAGGCCGCGCAGCGATGTCCGCTGCTCCACGGCGTGTAGGGGGTGTCCTTGGCGGTTTCGCCGTAGAGGTACTCCGCCGCTATCGCCTTCATGAAGTCGGCAAATGTCAGAGTTTCCTTTTGTCGCGACATGCGCCGCAGAAAAGTTGGCTCAAGGTGCGGCGGCGCTACAGGGAACTCGCAGCGAGCGGGTGCATCGCCATCGCCGTCGCTGCTGCCGCTGCTGCGGCACGGTCGTCGTTGCGCCGCCGCCGCCGCCGTCCATTCACGCGCAAGTCGGGACCACAACAGCTTGAACAGACTTCGGTAAAAGAGCAGTTTGGCAGAACTGCGGTGGCCCTCCGGTGAGGCGGTGGACCACGCGTCCAGCGGCTGTGTGGCGAGCAGTAGCGAGACGGAGTCGGTCGTCAAGCCACGTCGCCGCAGGGCACGGCTGAGCGGAAATCCCTGTGGCGTTAGTGCGTGCCAGCAGCAGCTGACGAGCAGGAGGCCACGCGCGGCACTGTTTCTGAAGATGCGGCACACATTGGAGCCGAGGTCACCGCAGGGGTGAAGGCCGATCAGCACCGTGTTGCGCACAGAAGGAACGCAGACAACTGGAGTGGAAGGCAGCGCGGGAGGCAGCACCGTGAGCACCACCGCGACGTGCGCGCGTCCCCAGACGGCGGGATCGGGCAGCCGCCACTCGCCGAGAAACGACTCAGCCGACGAAGCACAAGGAGAGTCAGCAGCGGGTAGGGCGGCCGACCTCACAGACAGGGACGGCGAGGGGACGCCGCTCGAGGAAGGAGGAAGGCGATAGAGTCGCAAGACGCGCTTTCTGTTCTCCGCGTCGAGGCAGACGTGATGACAGTCCGACCCCCCGTCGTAGCCCACGATCGTCGCCACCCGCTGCTCAAACACCCACGTTTGCGGCCGAGGTTGCTCAGAAGGAGGCGGCGGATTCCTCTTCGTTGCGCCCTTCAGAGCGTCCCCTTCACAGGCATCATCGACTTTCATTTCCGCGGCAGAGGGCTCAGGAGACGCATCAACGGCAGCGGTGGCGGAGAGGGCTCGTGCCACCAACAAGACCGCACGATAGCCACGTGCCGTGTAGGTGGGCTGCAGCGTGATGGAGGAGTCCTCGGGTGCGGTGGCGTCCATCGCTTGCGACTCCCTCCCGACTGTACAAGACGCAGAGGAAGCTCGCAGAAGTGTGAGATAGCGCAACGGCGACGCACTCATCTCACTGCTATTACTACCAGCACTATCCCGTGCCGTGTGGTTGCTCTCGCGTGGTCTCTTCAACAGCGCCGCATCCTTTCGGTTGTCGTAGTGCCGCGACTCCACATCCGTGACGCTGAAAAACGTCTCCGTCAGCTTCGCCACGTACGCGTGCTGCGAGAGCGTTAAGTTCCACGTGTGGAGCTGCTCCGCTGTGGGGATCCGTGAGCACGAGGCAGCGGATTTCGTCGCGGTCGTCGCGGCTGCGTCGTGCAGGTGCGCGTAGACGTGCTTCATGATCACCGTTGTGTTCTCGAGACGGACCACCTTCCCGCACACACGGCAGGCCAGCTTGACGCTTTCCTCGCCACGCGTGCGGGACAGCACCGTCATCGCGGTGGGGCCATCATCATCTGCGCTGTGCTGCGAACTCAAGCACCGGGCCGCCGCGTCGTACGGTGCATCGCGCGGAGCATCCGTTGACGCTGTGGGGCGAGGCACCGCCGTAGAACAGCAGCAGTGCGGGTCGGCGCAGGTGAGCACGTGTCCCTGCAGGAGCGTGGCCCAGTTGACGTCCTGCTCGACGCGGCACGCAATGCTCGCCACGTGCCCACGCGGCTCATACAGCAGGTTGACACGCGGTCGCCCATCACGCGACGACAGACTCGTCTCTAGCAGCGACTCCACTCGCTCCACCGCACGCTCCTTGTGTGCCGGGTTACAGTCCAGACCGATGACCTGGAGGTTGTCGCACAGCGCCACCGCGCGGGAGACGTAGCCTTTGCCTTCTCCCATGTTGATCACCGTCTCCACTCGCACAGCAGCTGAAGGCTCAGGTGCAGCTTGAGGCACTGCCTGCCCCTCGGCATCGAAGTCTGCCGTTCCGCTGCCGCGCTGCTGTCCGTCGATGCCGGCATTGCAGCAGTCTACAAGGTCGTGGATTGTGTCGCGCATGATGCGAACTTCGTGCTGCTTCTTCGGGTTCATGCCGTGTGACACGACGAGGTCTAAAATCTGCTGCTTGTGCTCTCGCGTGGCGACAGCAGCCGCAGACGTGCAGTCGATCCGACGCGCCGCATCTGCTGACAGGAGCGTTAAGGTGGCGGCATCGCTGTCCGGACGGCGTGCCCGGCCCAGCATCAGTCGCCGTGTCGTAGAATAAAACACATTAAGCGCCTGCAGTGCTGAACGCGCCGCATCTTGTTGATCGTCGCTTGGCAGTTGCTCCGTCGAGAAGGATGAGAACGCCGATGCAGGCGGCGGTGGGCCGTCACGCACCAACGCGCGCAACTTCGCCATTGCATCTTCGCCGTGCAGCAGCGGACCGAAGCCGCGCAGCAGGCGCTGCGAGTCCTGCAGCTCCTTCGACTCCACGACGGAGCCGTCGAAGTGCACGGCGGACGCGGGCCACGTCTCGCCGAGCATAAACTGGAAGTAGTTATCCGGGTGCGATTGGATGAGTCGGGCACCGCGCAGAAAGGTGCAGAGGTCATCGAGGTAGGCGTCCACCGCCGGGTGGAGAGAAGACTGCCCACTTGTCGAGCTCGACGGGGCGACGAAGAACGAAAAGCCCTCACGGGAGTCGTGCGCGTAGTGCGCAGAGAGCGGCAGGGCGAGGGAGTGATGTGCAGGCATGTGGACGAAATGGGCGAAGAGTGCTGAAAAAGTAAGGGAAAGGAACGCAACACACCGCGACGTTGTGGCGGAGCCGGTGGAACACGACGCTGCAGCCACAACGTTGGGCAGAGGTTTTTTCTTTGAAAGGAAGGGAAGGGGGAGGGCAGCACGAGATGCGTGGAGCGGAGGAAACGGCACTTTCCTCTTCGGAGAGCGTTTGTTTATTTTAGAGGAACGCAAAAACAAAGGCGAAGAAGAGATGAGACGACAACCCAGCGGAGGAAAACGGGCTGCAGATTGTCGTTCTCACTGCAGCGCTCAACTTTGCTGGCACGGCGGTTGTGTTTGTCTTTCCATTAAAGCAGCAGGATCACGGTGAAAATGAGAAGTCAGCGGCTTCAGCCTGGCAGCTGCTGCCCACTGAAGACGTTTCGTGCCCCCCGCCGCATCGTCAGATATTCTCACTGCAATGCCGGCCAAACCGCGCCCCTCTGATTCTCTCGCCAAATCGCTTTCATACGTGTGTATCTCCAAACATGTGATCAAGGAAGCGATGAGACAAGCTCTCACAAGACACCTTCATCGGTGGTGTCGGCACCCGAGACGGAGTCCGCCATTCGTGGGGGAAAACAAACCCGCGGATGGCAGTCGCCGCACTCCACGTAAAGAAAAAAGAGCGCGACCGTCCCACGCACACAACGCCGCGCGCCGTCGCTCCCTGCCAGCGAAGCATCGAAATCGCTGCCTTTCCTTTTATCTGCCCGTCCAGCCTTCACACGTGCGCCTGGAATAAACCTTGTCCACTCCCTATCGCTTGCGGAAGTCCTCCGCGGAGAACTCCTTCGGCCGAGGAATCTTCTTCATCTTGTACTCCTTCGAGCCCACGTAGGAGGCCTCTGCCGTGGCGTCGTACCAGTTGTTCTGCGCCTTGTCGAGCAGGGCGGACATCTCACCCTTTTCGAAGGTCACCTTTTGGGTCTGGTTCGTTGCGGGGCCTTTCCCGCGGTGCTCGCCCACCATCGCGCCAGGCGTGCGCATCGCCTCCGTCGCGCTGCGGTACTCCGTCGTGAGGAAGGCCACGAGCCACGCCAGCCCTAACAGAAACAGAACTTGAATGTTAATGTACGCGAGGGACAGGCGCGGATACTTCTGGTTGTACTTCCACCACGACACGTGCTTCCGCACCTGCACGATGTTGTAGCCGAAACGGGGGGCGAGCTTGTCGTCCACCGGGGCGGGCGTGCGGTAAGCGATCTCGCCGGTGGGCCACTGCACACGGGACACGATGTACTCCCCTCTGTCGTCCACGATGGGGAGTGTGTCGGGGTCCTCGTAGGTCGGCTGCACCCAACGCACCGGCTCCGGCTCAGCGGCGGTGACCTCGCCTGAGCTGGAGTCATCGCTGCCGCTGGTGCTGGTGGGGCTCACAGAGGATGTGCTGCTCTGCGTGGCCTCGCCCGATGTGGCTGATGTCTGCGGAGCAGACGAGGGCGGAACTGCGGAAGCTGCTTCTTTTTCTTTTGAGGTCGCTGCGGACGCGCCTTGCACCGGCGCAGCAGCAGCGGTGGACGACGGAGCTGGCACGTTCGGCATGCCCGCCTGCTCCTTCCCGCCGGTGGTGGAATGAAAACGTGCGAGCAAGGAGCCGCTGCAGAGCACGCTGATGCTGCTGGTGCGCATGCCCGAGGCCGCCCCAACGAGCTGCCGCCGTCCGATAGTGCTTGCCCCCACAGCACGGAGAGGCAGAGCGTGCATGGCGAGGAAACAAGTTCGCCAACGGTCAAAACAGCGACTGTAAACAGTGAAGATACTCGGGTAGGAGTTGGTCCTTCGCACACTGCAGATTCCACACACGGGGGAGGGGAGGAAAACAAAACAGATATATAAATACACGTATGTGTGTTTCCCATCCACGGTTAGCGCCACGCTTCGCTAATGCAGGCTGATGGCATTCACAGATAGGAGGAGGGGGGCAAACAGAGAAAGAGGATTCCTTTTTTAAGGCAACTAAATCAGCGTAGTTGATGTTCTCAAAGGAAGCGATGGCTGAGCCGCAGCAAAGCAGATCGGTGCCTGCTCACGGGTGCGCGAAACGGGAGGAGGGGGAAGGCCCCCAAGACAGCCGAAGCAGAAACCCCATCCGCCCTCCATTTGACATTGGTAATTACGAGTGAACGCAGTGGACCAACGCCGCGTGCAACATCACTTGCCGCCTCTCGCATCAGTCCATGAAGGTAAAGAAACAAAAACTTCAAACACAGCACAACGTTGTCATATGATGTCATCGGAGAGTCACAAGCTCGCCGTCTACACACGATGCTGCCGCCTCTACAAACACGATGGCGATCCGTCTGCGCACAGTAATACTTTTCTTTTCCCATTGCAGTTCGTTGTTGCTGCTTCTGTTGTTCATCTCTTTTGCATAGTTAACCTTACAAAATCAGAGTGCTGCTTCGCGACAAAAGCTTAGGTAGGAATCAACAAGGAAGGAAACAGCGCCCCTTTAACGCCCACACACACACACACTCGAGAACATACCAATCGAGACGCATCTTCACATGCCATCAGCATCGCCCAACCGAAGCAATCATCAAAAAGAAACAAGAACTGCTTCCTTTTCGGTATCCTGCGCAGCGGCCCCGCGGGCCAGCTTCTTCCGCAGTTGGAGGGAGCCCATCGCACAGTTGTCGAGCACATACTCTTCCACGTAGAAACGGCATATGTATGAAGAATTGCCTCCCCGCACACCGCACACACAGGACGGACCAACAACAACGACAGGGGAAAAACAAACATCAAAATCAAAAAGAGAATAAGGGAAACATCACGGCCACTGACAAAACTTATTTAATTAAAACAAAAGAAACAATATTTTGCGATCAATCATCACAGGCAACGTTGAATTGCTGCTTTACTCCCTCCTTCCTTCCATCCTCTCCTACCAGAGACACACACACACACATGCACAGACCTTCGGTAAGTCTGCCTACCACGTGCATTTCCTTTTTTTAACTTCTTACTTCTTTGAAGACGTTACCAGACGGCGGGACACGACGTGGCTCTCCGTCACATCCTCGTGCACCGTGCGCTCCTCCTCCGGCAGGGCCTTAATGCGGCTGTTGTTGTAGCGGACCCACTTCGAGTTCGCGTACTCCTCCTCGCGGATCTCTGTCAGCTTGTCGCGCGTCGCCTGCTCCGCCAGCTGCTTCATCTTCTTCACGTACTCGTCCTCCTTCAGCTTCCGCTCCTTCTCAACCTGCTCCTCGCTCGCGGCCTTCAGCGCGGCGGCGGTGGCCTCGTAGTCGTGCAGCAGCATCTTCATCGACTCCCGCACCTTCTTCATCTGCGCGCTGTCCACCAGCGTCGGTGGCAGCGGTCGCCAGGCAAAGTGCGAGAACGTCTTCACCGCCTTCCGGTACAGCTCGTTGCCGGTGTAGTCGAAGATGCGGTACTGCGCCGACATCGCCTGCTCGTGGATCGAGGAGACCCACACAGCAAAGTAGCGGCCCGTCGGGTCCCACTCGCAGTTCGTCGCATTCACGCCGCTCAGCTTGTTCTTGTCGGTGATCGTGTTGTTGTCGTGCAGGACGAAGAAGTGCAGGAGGGACTTGTCGAAGTTCGCCGCGGCAAGACGGCCGCCGTGCGGGGCCCAGAAGAGGTGCGTCGCGGACGTGGGCACCTCATGCTGCACCTTCGGGCCCTGCTTGCCAATCATGAAGATCTGCAAGAAGCCCGTCTCACCGAGGCCGCTGCCGACGCCGTCCTTCTTCAGCAGCACTGCGAACTTGTCACCGCCGGTCTGCCAGGCGAAGCGGGTCGGGATGTAGCCGCGCTTGATGGAGAGGCGCGTAATAGGTACGTTGCGCTCCGCTATGTGGAAGAGGAAGTACTCCGTCGGCCCCTTCATCGAGGACACCTTCACACACAGAAACGTGCCGGCCGGGTGCCACAGCATGTCCAAGCGGGACGCTAGCAGGAAGTTGCGCTCGTTCAGCACGCGCTGCTCCACCTCGCCATCCTCGTTCACCACCATGTCGGCCACGACGGCCTTCCAGCCCTGGTTGGGTCCCAGCTCGCACACGTACCCCATCTGCGTGTCCACCACTGGATTCCACTCCGCCTTGTAGAGACCGCGAACGGAGAAGGTGTGGCCCGCGCTGCCGTCGCCCTTCAACAGCTTCATCGTCTCGGAGGGGTAGATGTTCAGCTGGCCCTCCGGCACCGTCGCGGAGTCCGGCGCGCGCACCGTCGTCTTGCACACGACGACGAGCGAGTCGTCCGCGCTGAAGCGCATCACCGGCCAGAGGTCGTCGCTGTGCAGGTCAAGATTGCCGATTGTGCGGATCTTTTTGGCCGTGCGCAGGTTGATAATGCTGATGTCCTTTGGCGTTTGAACGATGATGTACTTCTCGCACGGCGACACCATGAAGGCGTTGACGTCCAGCGTGATCTCGAAGTGCAAGCGCATGCTGCGGCCCGCCCACACACGCAGGCCCTTCTCGTGTTGGGAGATGACCATCGAGCCGTAGGTGGACCACACGGGCAACGGACGGCTCACCGGCAGCGGACCGCAGATCATGCCGCTGCTCAGCTTCTTGTTCGTGCGGTCCACCTCGGACCAGCGGTTGAGGGGGTCCTCGCTGCCCAGCTTGCGGCGGCGGTACAACTCCGGCTCGTTCTTCTCCCAGTTAAACCAGTACCACTCGCAGTCGAACGACGCGCCGCCCTTCACGAGGAACTGCGGACGTGCCTCGGGATCCTCGGCCATGTTGTGCACCAGCTCTGCCTCCTCCTCCTCGTCGCCGTCGGGCAGCGTCGGCGGCACGTAGGGGCCGAGGTCCTGGCGCGCCTCCTCGAGCGAGCTCCAGCGGTACGTCGTCAGGATGGACGTCTTGGTAAAAGGGAAACGGTTCAGCTTCGCCAGGGCGGCCTCGGCCTGCTCCTCCGTCACGCAGCTCAGAATGGCACCCTTCACGAGGGCCGTCTCGCGGTCCTGCAGCAGCTGCAGGTTTATCTGGTCATGGCCCAACACCTCCGTGATGCGGCGCGAGAAGTGGCGCTTGAAGAGCTCGCGCTTGTCGGGCGTGACGTTGTTTGGCAGTCCATCGATGAGGATGTGGCGTCCGAAGTTGACCTCCGTCATTGACGATTGGCGCGAAAGGCGGGAGAAAGATATAGAGAGAGAAGAAAAGAAATACGGTGTTGTCGTACAAAGCTAAAAGCGTTGGAGTTGAGCCGAGTTGATTGCACGAGCTCAGAAGAAACTGTATGTTACTAGTGTTGTTGTCGGGGAGGAGAAGAGGAGGAGAGGAGGAGAAGAGAGAGGGCAAGGAGTGGGGAACCTTCTTGGCGCATCAGCAAAATCAATAATAAGAATAATTTAAATAATAAAGAAAGATCCTGCTTCGTTGATTTAAGTATTTTTTAAAAACGTAAAAACAAAGATGAAGACGGCTAGGATTAAACGGGTGTCCTTTCGTCCTACTGCTCCGCCCCACCACCACGTTACCTTTTCATTGGTCACCACACTTAGCCGGAGAACACACGAGTGCGTAGACACAGCCCTCCGTCCTCTTCGCACTCCTTCCGATTACAAGACGACGCTCTTCCCCATGTCCCTGAAAGGCACATGCGCTCCTCAGCGAAGAGCAGCTGAAACATAGATACTCGTTTGATGGATTATTTTTGCTTAGTTCTACAAGAAATGCCTAACTACTAGAAACATGAAGACAATATAGATATATGTCTTGAAGCTAATACGATTGAATGCAGAAGCACAGCGATCCCTCAACGACGCCTGTCAATCCACAACGCAAGGGAAAGCGAGGGCAGCACCGCGGCTGCTTCGGGCTCGTCTCCTTCACTCGGCATCCCCCTCGACCTCGCCCTCGGCGCCGCCCTCCGCCGCCACCTTCGCCTGCAGGCGGTTCCAGATATCCTTCTGGTTGTGGCCCGCATTCCAGCTCTGGAAGGCACCCTCGTACTGGTAGAGGACGTACTTATTAAACAGGATCGGCACAACCAGCACAATGGGGATGCGGATGAAGCCGCGCGCGTACGTGTAGTTCAGCACGTTGGTCCAGAAGGGGAACGCCATTGCTAGGGGTGGGTACCTGCTGTTGGGGGGTCAGTATGGAAGACAAATATATACGTGTATCCGTGGAAGGAGCTACGTTGAAAGAGGCGAATGAAGATGTGCAAGTTGCGAGAACTCAACCTTCTGCTAGCGGTGATGTTACTGCGATCAACAACACGATGGTTTGCCCACAGAGAGAGAGAGAGAGAGACAATGAGGAAGAAAGGCAAAGATACGTAGAGACGATGAAGAGGATCGCACCGCATTGCGGAGGATGAAGTCCGGCTAAGCCCCACGATCTTTTCTGCCAAAGACAGCAGGCCGCACACGCACACGAACACAACCAAAGATGCAGTGTCCAACGCAACAGCTGTGTGCATGCGTGTGTGTGTGTGACAACAACGATCGTCTACTACTCGATAAAGCTGAAGAGGAAAGAGCGAAAAAAAAAAGACAGTTGATGCGTACCGCATTTACGCACCTTTCCGTGTCTGTGCCGTCGATTGGCGCCGCGAGCTGCAAGGAGCGTTGCGGCGCCAATCGAATGCCTCCGTCCTTTCCGGTAATACCCGCTTTGCTGTTACCGTTGATGTTGGGGACCAAATACGCATCGGCGGCCTACAAACGAGGGGAGGCGAAGGTAGAATGCGAGATAGGCGCACACACGCACACGCACACACAGACAGACATACGTGCGCCTATTCTCGCATCTACAAGAGAGAGGAGATCGAAAAGGAAAAAGCAATAATAATAATAATAACGGTCAACTACCATATCCAACCGACAACAACAAAGCTCGCTCAACACGATGCTGTACAGAAGAAAGAGGACCCCACAGCAAGAACAAAAGAGACACTTCAAAACCGCTGCCCTGACACAGACACCGCACCTCTTACACGTAGGCCGCCCACATTTCCGGCTTCGTGTGGTAGCCATCCTTGCGGCGGTAGTTGGAGTACTTCTCCTTCATAATATCCTGATAGCCGGTCGCCCACAGCATGTCCCAGGTGATGGGGAAATCAACGAGCGTCGGCTCCTCGATGAGCGGCGCCCACGGCTCGATCCGCTTGCTGCGCGCGCCGTGGATGGTGCCCTGGTCATCCACCAAGCCCCAGTCCGACACCGCCTCGCGCAGCGAACGCGTCCAGAGCTGTTTCAGTGCGAACAGGCTCCCATCCAGCTCCTCCGTAATCGGAATTTGGCAGCTAAAGCGCGTGTTGAACGTGATGTCCGGCCGGTCGGTGTTCCGCCAGGCCGCGAGCGAGGTGTACTCCCACCGGTTCGGCGGCAGAAGTCGGTCTAACGTCTCGATGTCCACGTTCACGATGCACCCGTCGCCGTGGTTCCAGTCGGCGCAGTCGGGGTTGTTGCACTTACCCCAGTGCGTGGCGTGTCCGTGGCACATGCCGGAGCCGTCAATGAGGGTGTTCAGCGTGACGTCCGGCATGGGGTAGGTGCGGAAGTGAAAAGGATGGCCATCGAAGTTGATCACCGTAATGTTGATCAATTTCGTCTTGGACTTGCTCTCGTAGAGCTTGCCGTCAACGGCGTACTTTTGGCTTAGGCGACGTGCGATCGACTTCTCTGGCAGCGCACCGGTGCGGCGGCCCTCCCGCAGGTTCAGCTTCTCGGCCATGATCTCGCCTTTCTTGAGGGGCTGCTGGAGGCAATTTCGGTGTGAGATGTACCAGCGGCCACGCTTCTGCGTCTCGGCCAACTCTTCGATTTCGTTGTACATGTGAGGAATAATGCGATAGTGCCGCGTGCCGCAGGCGAGGGCAGCGACGGTGGCACACGCCACGCTGGCACGAGAGGCCGCTCCACGGAGCATGTCTCAATAAAAGATTTCTATCGCTAAACGGCGTCTTCTCACTAATAATGTTTTGCTGTGTTGTGTGTGTGCGTGTACGGGTATACGTGTGGAGATGCTTCTGCGCTGTCGATGGCGGTTTCCTTTGGAGGACAAGGTAGAAGAGAGAAGGCAAAGGTGAGTCGCGACCACAGCGCGACGTCTCCGTGCACACGAGAGCTAAACTACAACGATAGACTAAGTAAAAGGTGAGAAGGAAGAAGGCTGCAAATAAGACTAAATCAGCAAATATATATATATTCCTACAATAGGTCTAAGAAATACTTCTTTAAAAAAATCGGATGCTAAACGGAAGAGGTAAAAATGCTGTTCGTTAAGCGGCGCGTGTGTGGACCACAACGGCGACGGCGGCAACAACCGCAAACACGATCGTCCTCACTACGCTGCACTATCGGAGCTGTACGTGCGGCTGTGCAGAGATTCAGTTGTGTCGTGTGCGACCACCGCAGCAACTCTGTCCATGGAATAGAGAAACGTAATCGTACGCAGATAACAGAAAAAAATAGAAGCAGGAATGAAGTGGGGCAAAGATTCACCGATGGTGTGATCAATAACGGGGTGCTGGAGAAGGAGCCAGAGAGGTGGGGAAGGCTGACGTACTTTGAATACGATTTAAACCCACAACGAATGCTTCGTGCCAAGCGACACAGCAAACACAAGCCTTGGAGGCAATACTTGTCTGTTTGTTTGCTTTTTCCAAGTTGTATGAAGGAACAAACATCGGTCCTTGAAAGGAAGCCAAAGGAGGAGATGTACACCACGCAGACGTCCGCAAGAGAGAGAGAGAGGAAAACGTCTATCGATAAAAACAGCTCATGAAGAGAGGGAGAAAGAAAAATAAGAATAATAGCAATAAAAGAGTTGCCTCTATCACGATGCCCACACACACACACACACACACCACGTG